CTTTCACTTTCTAAGTCTCTCTCTCCCTTGCTTTCCACTCAACCTTCTCCACACTTGACTGACTTGACCTGCTTTTACCCTCCTTCCTTTCCTCTCCCACCATTCCTTCATTCCTTCCTTCCTTTCTTCCTTACTTCTACTGTTCCTTCCCTCTTCTTCACTTCCATCTTCTTCACTTAGTTTTTACTAGACTTTTTCTTGTTCTTTTATTCTTAGAATTATTTTTACTTGTTCTGACATTACAGTACAGAGAGTAGCACACTACTAACATTGACTTATATTACAGTACAGAGAGTAGCACACTACTAACATTATCTTATATTACAGTACAGAGAGTAGCACACTACTAACATTATCTTATATTACAGTACAGAGAGTAGCACACACTACTAACATTATCTTATATTACAGTACAGAGAGTAGCACACTACTAACATTATCTTATATTACAGTACAGAGAGTAGCACACTACTAACATTATCTTATATTACAGTACAGAGAGTAGCACACTACTAACATTATCTTATATTACAGTACAGAGAGTAGCACACTACTAACATTGACTTATAGGCCTACTGTATCATGCATCATTTTAATGCTGCGTTGAGAGGCCTTCTGGCCCATGCTTAGGTAGGTCACAGGCCTGCCTAAGCATGGGCCAGAAGGCCCATTCTAGCAGGTCTAGCTAGAATAAGGCAGGTGACACTAAGCGTCGTCTGCCTTATTCAAGTTAGCGTCGTTCCCCTGAACGAATCTACCTGGACTCCCTACTCATTTCTGCAACATTGCGAGCTCCTGATGATGTGTTGATTGCAACACGAAAGGCCTAGAGCTATCATTCAACTCCCACCGTGGTTGTTCTGCATCTTGTATCGCTTGTTCGCGATTATTGCTTATGTTACTAAGTACGATCATTGTAGTTATGTTTACCAGTACCTACGTCGTAAATTTTCTTAGGCTGTTGTTAATGTTGTGGTAATGTTTCAGGTGTGGGGCGGGGGTTACAGGTGGTCGTGCTGGGACGTAGGAGGTGGTGAACGCGTACGACCACTCTGGTCGACGTACACCCGTGCTACTGATGGTGTTGTCTTCGTTGTGGACTCAGCGTCTATGGGTGACATGATGGAGGAAGCCAGAGTAGAGCTGGCCAGGGTCCTCAAGGTAAGTGTACTCACCTAGTTGTACTCACCTAGTTGAGGTTGCAGGGGTCGAGTCCAAGCTCCTGGCCTCGCCTCTTCACTGGTCGCTACTATGTGTGTGTGTGTGTGTGTGTGTGTGTGTGTGTGTACTCACCTAGTTGTACTCACCTAGTTGAGGTTGCAGGGGTCGAGTCCAAGATCCTGGCCCCGCCTCTTCACTGGTCGCTACTAGGTCACTCTCCCTGAGCCGTGAGCTTTATCATACCTCTGCTTAAAGCTATGTATGGATCCTGCCTCCACTACATCGCTTCCCAAACTATTCCACTTACTGACTACTCTGTGGCTGAAGAAATACTTCCTAACATCCCTGTGATTCATCTGTGTCTTCAACTTCCAACTGTGTCCCCTTGTTACTGTGTCCAATCTCTGGAACATCCTGTCTTTGTCCACCTTGTCAATTCCTCTCAGTATTTTGTATGTCGTTATCATGTCCCCCCTATCTCTCCTGTCCTCCAGTGTCGTCAGGTTGATTTCCCTTAACCTCTCCTCGTAGGACATACCTCTTAGCTCTGGGACTAGTCTTGTGGCAAACCTTTGCACTTTCTCTACTTTCTTCACGTGTGTGTGTGTGTGTGTGTTACGACAGTGAGAGAAGTACTCTGGCAACTGGGTTTCGTACGTATTTGAATGATGAGTACTAACGTATTCAGTTATACAGAATACTAATGTACTGTATATTGTGAGTACTTGAGTACTAATTAATGTGTATATTGTAAATACTTGAGTACTAATGTAGTGTACATTGCAAGTACTTGAGGACAAATTACTGATGTATCGGATATCCGCATCCGCAGAACATCCGCACAATTTCTTACATCCTCAGCTGTATCCGCATCCGCAAAATATGTAAGACGTCCTCATACACATCCACATCCTCGGATATCTGAATATTCACATCCGATACATCTTTAGCTACAAATGTAGGTTATATTGAAAGTACTTGAGTACTAACTAATGTACCGTATATTGTGAGTACTAATGTACAGTATATTTTGAGTACTTGAGTACTAATGTACCGTATATTGTGAGTACTTGAGTACTAATGTACCGTATATTGTGAGTACTTGAGTACTAATGTACCGTATATTGTGAGCACTTGAGTACTAATGTACCGTATATTGTGAGTACTTGAGTACTAACTCGTGTATTGTTTTCTCATCTACCAGAAGTCACGGGCATCTTCGCTTCAGCTGAGCGTTCCTGCACCGCCACTCCTTGTACTGGCCAACTTCCAGGTGAGTACTGCTGAGTACACTGCTACAACACTACCAGGTGAGTGGTGGTAGTACATCACTGCTGAGTACACTGCTATAACACTACCAGGTGAGTGGGGGTAGTACATCACTGCTGAGTACACTGCTACAACACTGCCAGGTGAGTGGTGGTAGTACATCACTGCTGAGTACACTGCTACAACACTACCAGGTGAGTGGGGGGTAGTACATCACTGCTGAGTACACTGCTATAACACTACCAGGTGAGTGGTGGTAGTACATCACTGCTGAGTACACTGCTACAACACTGCCAGGTGAGTGGTGGTAGTACATCACTGCTGAGTACACTGCTATAACACTACCAGGTGAGTGGTGGTAGTACATCACTGCTGAGTACACTGCTACAATACCACTGAGACACTGCAGCATCAGCGTGCAACATCACTGCTGCAACGGTGGAAAGGATAGGAAGGAGAGGAGGGATGAATGGAGGGAACACAGGGATAGACAGATAAATAGATGTATTAAAGGAGTAGTGACAAGTTCTCGTCTATCTTTATTTATTACAAGTACATGTACAAGTACATGTACAAGGTATACAGACCATAGCTGACATCAGTGACATACTACTATAAGAACATAAGAAAGAAGGAACACTGCAGCAGGCCTACTGACCCATGCGAAGCAGGTCCATGCCACCCCCCGGCTTAGCCCAATGATACACCTAGTCAGATCACTTAAGGAAGGAGCACGGCATCAGACCTAGTAGCACGATGGAAATAAATGGTATAAAATACCGACACAATGGAAATATAAACACAAATGCAGTATAATGTGATCCTTTAATGACAACGTTTCACCCACACAGTGGGCTTTTTCAAGTCACACACGGATCTACCTGGGGTTGGAAGGTACGGGAGTACCTTCCAACCCCAGGTAGATCCGTGTGTGACTTGAAAAAGCCCACTGTGTGGGTGAAACGTTGTCATTAAAGGATCACATTATACTGCATTTGTGTTTATATTTCCCTAGTAGCACGAGCTAGTCAGGTCCAACTCACACCCACCCACACCCACTCATGTATTTATCTAACCTATTTTTAAAACTACACAACGTTTTAGCTTGAATAACTATACTCGGGAGTTTGTTCCACTCATCCACAACTCTATTACCAAACCAGTACTTTCCTATATCCTTCTGAATCTGAATTTTTCCAACTTGAAACCATTGCTGCGAGTCCTGCTATATAGAAAGCCCCTTGTTTTGTCTCAAGATGCGACCCACACCAGTCTACTAACACCCAGGTACCTATTTTACTGATGGGTGAACATAGACAACCGGTGTAAGGAAACACGTCCAATGTTTCCACCCCTACGCCGGAATCGAACCCGGACCCTCGCCGTGTGAAGCGAGAACTTTTGCCACCAGGCGACGAGGAACTTTCTGTCTCTCTCTGTGTCTCATCCTCATTTTTCCTGTCAATTCTATTGTTCTTTTTTGCTTGTGTTTCTTATCACTAAGTACCAGCTGTCTCAGTTGTGGTTGATCTCTTATCACTAAGTACCAGCTGTCTCAGTTGTGGTTGATCTCTTATCACTAAGTACCAGCTGTCTCAGTTGTGGTTGATCTCTTATCACTAAGTACCAGCTGTCTCAGTTGTGGTTGATCTCTTATCACTAAGTACCAGCTGTCTCAGTTGTGGTTGATCTCTTATCACTAAGTACCAGCTGTCTCAGTTGTGGTTGATCTCTTATCACTAAGTACCAGCTGTCTCAGTTGTGGTTGATCTCTTATCACTAAGTACCAGCTGTCTCAGTTGTGGTTGATCTCTTATCAAAAATCAGGATGAGTGACGTATCCTTTTCAGTGGTGTGGGAGGGGGTAGGATCCCCCCACCACCCTTTTCCCTTACTCTTTGTCCTTGGGGTATGAGGGGGGGGGTGGCTGTGAAGGATGGTGTGGGTAGGGGACAGTAGGAATGTGGAGAGGGTAGGGAGGAATGTTGGTGGTGGGGGTGTGGGGGGAGAGAGGCTAGTGGGGCTGGAGGAGGAGTGCTTATACTTTCAATATACCTTTGATTTAGAGGGCTGAGCTTGCTACCATCTGCAGCTCATAAGACTGCCATCCCCACGAGCCCCTTTGAGGCGGGGTAGATGGCAGACCAGAGGCCTAGCTTCTCCCTACGAGCCCCGTGAGGGCGGGGAATGTGGCTAGGCCTGGGGACACTTGGTCCCAAAGATGAGGAGGTACTTGTACCTCCTCCCATGGGAGACTCAAGTCTCGAGACACTCCCCAGATAGGGAGCCAAGGCCGGGTCACCACTACTTGGAAAAGACCCGGGCCGGGAGAATACCGGCGAATAAAAAACAAAAACAAAAAAAAAAACCTTTGATTTATCTCATGAGTTTAGCGACTCCCACAGCCCGGTCCTGGGTCAGGCTCGTCCTGGTGTTTGCTTGATCAACCAGGCTGTTGCTGCTGGTGGCCCGCTGCCCCACATATCCATCACAGCTTGGCTGATCTGTCACCTGGCTGGAGGTACTTGTCTACTTTCCTCTTGATCCAGAAGTGTTTCTCATATCTTCTGGTAAGATGTTGAAAAGTCTGGGCCCACGGATGTTGATACAATGTTCTCTTATCGTACTCACTACGCCCCTGGTTTTTCACATATCTCTCACTCCAGTGTTGTTACGGTGGTGTATATATTTGAGACTGGGCGAGACATCGGCTAACGTTTTGTCTACAAACTGGGTTAGTTTCGAAATAGAAGTAGAGAGCAGATAGGTAGATGGAGGTAGGAATGATGGGTAGGTAGGAGTGTAGAGGGGAGAAGGTAGATGGGCGTGGTTGGTAGATTGTAGTAGGAGAGGTGGAAGTAGCGGGTAGACGGCCTGGGTGTGGGTAGACGGGTTAGGTACAGGTAGACGGCATGGGTGTGAGTAGACGGGTTAGGTGAGGGTAGACGGCCTGCGTGAGGGTAGACGTTAGCGGATGTGACAGCGAGGGCCTGATATATAGGATAATATGAGTGTGTTGAGTGCACATGCTATGTGGGGTGTGGGCGTGGGCGTGGGCGGAGACCTTAGGGCTTTCCCTTCAACCCTCTCATTCCCATGTGGGGGGAAAGGTGGGGGTGCAACGTTCATCTGTTCTAACCATAACAATCACCCCTCCACCACCATCACAACGATCACCCCTCCACCATCACAACAATCACCCTTCCACCATCATCACAATAATCACCTCTCCACCATCACAACAATCACCCCTCCACCACCATCACAACAATCACCCCTCCACCATCACAACAATTACCCCTCCACCACCATCACAACAATCACCCCTCCACCACCATCATAACAGTCACCCCTCCACCACCATCACAACAATCACCCCTCCACCATCATCACAACAATCACCCCTCCACCATCATCACAACAATCACCCCTCCACCACCATCACAACAATCACCCCTCCACCACCATCATAACAGTCACCCCTCCACCACCATCACCAACAATCACCCCTCCACCACCATCACAACAATCACCCCTCCACCCATCACAACAATCACCCCTCCACACCATCACAACAATCAACTCTCCACCACCATAAAAATCACCCCTCCACCACCACCACTAACAATCACTCTCCACCACCATCATAAAAATCACCCACCATCATCACCGCAATCACCACCACCACCATCACAATCACCCACCATCATCACAACATTCACCCACTACCATCACAATCACCCACCATCATCACAAGAATCACCCATCACCATTACAATCACCCACCAACATGACAACAATCATCCACCTGCCATCACAATCACCCACCATCACCACAACAATCACCCACCACCATCACAATCACCCACCATCACAACAATCACCCACCACCATCACATTTACCATCATCACAATCACTAACACTGCCACCATTATAGTTGTAGCACAGAGTATTGCAGGATAACTTCTTTCTCCTACAATACTATGTGTTAAACCCTTAGGGGCCACATGGCGCTTAGATATGAATGACTAAAATACACACACACAAAAGAGAAAAGATACATTTCCCCGTATGTGTGTACTCACCTAATTGTGGTTGCAGGGGTCGAGGCTCAGCTCCTGGCCCCGCCTCTTGTGTGTGTGTGTGTGTGTGTGTGTGTATACTCAGGTGTGTGTGTGTGTGTGTGTGTGTTTGTGTGTGCTTGTGCATAACTGCCTCCTTGTTGATGCTTCTGAAAGGTGACCTTCAACTTGTCAGTCTCGCTTTTGACGCAGCAGTTACTTGGTTGATGTGTGCCTTAGGTGATATACTGGGAACTATGTTCACCCTGAGGCCCTTCTCTTTCAGCGAGGTTTGCAGCCTTTCCCCCCTGTCTCTGCCTGTCTCCTGTCTTCATTGTCCTTTCCCAATTTTCATAACTTAGCATTTACTGGGGTGACATTCTAAGAGCCAGTTGTCAGAGCACTCTTGCAGCTTGTCCTGATACATGTGTAGTCTCTCCTGGTCTGCTGTTGTTTGTATTCTCTTCATTAGTTTAATGTCATCTACCAACCAGGACAACTCTGACTCGATTTCTTTTGTCATGTTTACATACACAAGAACAGTACTGGTCCAAGTACTGACCCTTGTGGAGCCCCACTCGTCACACTCTCCCATCCCGACACCTCCTCCTCCTGGACAATAACTTTGTTTCCTTCCTGTTTTGTATTCCTTAATGCACTGTAGTGCCCTCCCTGTTATTCCTGTCTGCCCCTTTTTACTTTTGTACCAGTCTTCCTGTGACGTACTGTATGGAACGTCTTCTCACAGTCCACCCAGCCTTCTGTCTCTTCATTAACTTTCATTACCACGTCATGAAGTAGCAGATTTGTGAGACAGTATTTGCCTTTTCTAAACCCGTGCTGGATGACGTTTATAAACCTATTCCTTCCCAGGTGTTCCACTACTTTTCTCTTTAACCTTACACACTCTTCATGTTAGTAACATGTAGCTCAGTGCTCCCTCTCTGTCCCCTTTTAATTAAATATCGGGACTACATTCACTGTATTCCAGACCTCAGACAGCTGCCC